AAAAAGAGAGAGAAGCAGAGGTCCTACAAATCATCTACTCACTTTACAAGGCACGTACCAAGTTCTCTCCCTTTTTTACTACTAAAGGGTCCAACACCTTTCTCCACCCGGCATAGTCTAGAGTCGACCCAGCATCTGGTAGTGGAAAGCCATTGACAAAGAAGAAAGGTGTCCCATAAACCCCTCGTAAGCAACCAAACTGCAAAACAGAACATATCCACACACTACATGTTTACTTTAACAATAAAAACAAAGTCAATTATACTCTTCTTCTTTTGAAAGCCTCCCCTTCTTACCTTGAAAGCAACTCTTGTTGCGTGGTCTGTTTTGGTGTCATTGAAGCCAGCTTTGATTGTGGACCCGTATGAATCTCCGAGTGCCTTTGTTGAGAATTGAACAATCTTGTCTACAACAGATGCTCTCGACAAGTTAAATGTAGCCTTGCCGTAAAACTGTTCCTGTTTCGACAAAAATCTACCAATTTCAGCCATTACCAAATCTAATTTTGTGCTAAAAAAAAAAAAAAACAAAGATGTTGTGCTTTGTTACTTAAGAAGTCAGTTGCCATGATTTAATTACGACTAAGTGTTATAAGATGACTTTCCTGATTAATGAAATACATGATTTCCCTGCTCGAGACTTTCTATAGGGTTATACAAAATTTGTTTGAAAGTTGTTGACACAATAAATGAATCAGGACAAAACCAAAGGCCCTCCTGCCTCAAATGAACTTCTTGGATAACTGAATAATTTCCTTTACTATAGAATGCCAAGTTGCTAGATATCAATACAACAATACTGAAAATAATTATTTTTAGAGAGATCTTTTTTTTTAGTACATCATTTGGTCATGTGGGAAAAGGGGTTTGTATTTTGACTTGGATGGTAAGCAGCTAAATTCCTAAAACACAATATTGTGAGGATTCAAGTTTTGCAGAAGTGATCAACAAAAACTTGAAGGGTACAGATTCACACACTGACACACACACACACACACACACCTCTCGGTCCTACAATTGATCAAATAAAAGAGTAGACGAAAAGCAACATCTGTCCAAAACCATTACAATCAGCTTTAGGGCATGACAGAATTGCATGATCAGCTGATGATAAAATCCAAACATAAAGAAGACAAAAATCTATTTTGCTTCATATGGAATGAGATTGTCTTACCTGGTGATGGAAAAATGCCTCTAGTAAGTGGTAAGTGGCTGAACTGTTGCGGTTATTAACTATATGAAGCGCCCGAGAAGTGGCAAAAGCATTGTCATGATAACTGTCAATCAAAAATGAGAATTTTAAAATAAATCATAACCACTCTCAACAAATGTGTGCTTAGATAAGCTTATTCACTCCTAAGCTCAAATATTCTCTCATGACATGCTTTTAGCATTTATACAGTTTTGAAACTTAACCCAAAATAGCTGCTAAATAGCTTGGACAACAAAAAATATACCATAAGATGTTTGTACTGTAGTTTCGTCATCAAAATGGTAAAAAACGACAATTTATCAACTGCAGATTAGTTGGCGATTCCCACCTTTTTTTCGAAAACAACACTTACGATCCGAGTAAGCGTGATTACATATCCACATAAATTAGAAAAAATTAAACAACCTCTTAATTCCTGAAAATTATCAAACAAAGTTGGAACAAAGAGCACCAAATTATCGATTTCCATTTACGACAATGGTTGAACAGCAACCCAGAACTAATAAATCAGAAATTAGCAAAACACACACATACACACACGAAAATTCCTTTATCTCAATTCATCAACAAAACATGTAAAGCTAATCGACGATTAACAGAGACTCACGGCAAAGGGAAAGTGTGAACGACGAGCGTGACTCGAGAGCCGTACTGCTCTAAGGCATCCTTAAGAGGCGGCCACGAATCACGCGAATCGGGGCAAACCGGGTCGAAAAATGCCTCGATCAGCGCGCCACCCTCGTCGGCCGGTTTGCCGCCGTACCAGAACCCGTCCTGCCTCTCCGGTATAGAGGACTGACCCGATATCCGAGTAAGCAGATACACACACAGTATAGCGAAACACCCAGCCGATTTCTTTAATTCCATTTCCATCCTTTTTTTCTCACGCAGATATTTTGTGTCTATCTTAGCTCCAACTTCCAAGTAGTCTACCAAGCGGTGCTAAGAAGTGCAAATTACAAGATGATTTGTAGTTGGGTGTAGTTAAATTGATCACTGACTTGGTTTTATAGCAGTAGCAGATGTAAAGATAGTAAGATACAATGTAGTCACTTGTTTTTGGGAAAATAATAGTCATTTTATTTTGTTTTGTGTATGCTTTAGTTGCTTACTCCCAAATTTTACAATAAAAAACAATATATAATTTATGACACTATAATTCGTTTCTATAATTTTAAAAATCAATTATATAATTCAAGACATTGTTTATATATTTTAAAAATTATTTCTGAAATTTCAAAAATCAATTATATAATTCAATAAATTGTTTAATTATTTCAAAAGGCATTAGAAACCATATTCGAAATACTAGAAATCATTTTAGAACTTTAAATATAGTTTTAAGTGAAAAAGTATGGAGAAATTAATTTAGTCATTTTATAAAGGGCAAAATGATTATTATCCATACTTTCAAAAATAGTTATATTTCATCGTTTCGAGAAAATGTTATTTACCTATACAACAACAACAACAACAACATACCCAGTATATTCCCAACAGGTTGGGGTCTGGGGGGTCAGTTGTACGCAAACCTTACCCTTGTAATTATACAAGGAGGTTGTTTCCGTATCGACCCAAGGTGCATTGCGCCGTTTGATATATTTTTTTTCTAGAAACTTCACTAATAGAAGAAGCACTAGAATTTAACTGAGTCATTTTTATTTACCTATATTACCACTAAATAGATTAGGCGGCTGCTAATGTGAGAGTAGTAATTAGTAGTTAGGCGAAAAGTATGCACATCTATTAAAAAAGTATAACGGTCTAACTATTAGATTTGTCTATCAACATTCATATTATATTTCAAATTGAAAGAATAAACTACAGCATAATTTATTAATTTATAATAAGTAAGTTGTTGATAAACGCTAGAATCCTGCATTTATTATTTATTTGATGATTAAGAAATTTGAATTTGATTGGAACGTGTCATTTGAAAGTTTGCAAGACAAATTTTTCTATTGATCATATATGGCTTATAATAATTTAATGATTATATTTTAGTTTCCTATAACCTTTTTTATATAATTCGTGGTTTCGTGTCTACCTATCACTTTGTCGATTGGCTTTTCTAGAACTTTTTTAAATAAGTCTTTGTTATGTGTCTATTCACCAGGTAGTGATAGATAAAACCTTGATAAATGTTTTGACTTTCTTGTCTTAAGGATAGTTCGTTTTCCTATATTCATTTTGCTTAAACCGGACACACTTGCCATTCTGCTCGTACTTCCCAACAATTTAAGACACTATTCAAGTTCTATCTTTAATCAAATTTGAATAATTAATTTATCTTTGACAATAACGGACAACAAATTGAAAGACATTTTAAATTTCTGAGATCATATAAAATAAATTTTACTTAGTCAAATCTTTAAATTTAATTCTCAAATATTGATCTCTTAACAACTATATTTCATTAAATTAATCAACTGTTGATGTCGAAAATTGGACGATCAACCGTCAAATATAAGTCGAATCTATGTATGAAAATGAAGAACAAAATCAATGATAATGGTGTTTCTTTTTTTAGAGAGAAGATTTTTCTTTCTTTGTTATTGTGGAGAGAATGAGTACTCATCCAACCACCCCTTCTTTTCTTCATTTGTACATATATATATCCCCCTCTCTTTTGCAAGTGGACAACTAAATAAGTAAAAAATGGTACATCATTATTTAATATGAGATAATCATCGTGGAGCTCGCTTATGACTTCTGACGGCTTCGATTGACGTCTATCTGAGGCGGCTTCTGATTTGATCGGTATCGAGAATCTGTTTGTATATTTATTTTGTATTGTCGGCTCATTGATTATCTGACCGTATTTTTTTTATTTTGTTTATCAGTTATTTAATTGGAGCCAAATTGGGTATCAACATCAACATTTCAAAACACCGAAATTCCACATGCCATTATAGTGTGAACATATACAGGCTTTACTGTCGCAAAAGGAGTGTTTTATCCCATTAATTATCCGTGATGACCTTTTGAATTTCTCAATACATAATTAACAGTCGGTCTACTTTTGGCCCACACAAATAACAGTGGTGATTCTTGTGGGAGACCACTATTAGACGTGCTATAAGTATGATCCATTACTTGGTACCAAGTCCATTATCAAAATTATACGTCCACCTATGGGAGGCCCATAAGCTTTTGAAATAGTTTTCTACTACCATCCAAAGGAAGTCTATCCTGGTGAATTGTGAATAATATTTGTCATGTAGAGAAAGACCTTAATGCCAACGAGCAAATTAGTGCCCGAATTACATATAATTCATCTCCCGGCTAGTTGCTCGATTACTCTCCCCATGTTTAAGATATAACGTTTGTTGATTAATTTAGTTAATGAAAATATAATCAATCAACTTATTTGTCTGAAAATAGTACTACTCAATTGTTTTTCATTATATCGAAAATTAATATTTCGGTTAAGATTGACATAATAATCATTCTTGAGCACATTTTGAGAAAATCATCAACCTGGTGGATCGGGACACAGTGACAGTAAACAATTTCAATGGTACATCATCGACACGACATTATTTACCAAAATACGGAGTATTTTGACTTAATAGAATAAGTTTCACCCATGGTAAATCAAATAAATAAGTACTGGATACATATGCCCGTTTATTATCGTTTTTTGTCTTACAGGCTAAGAGAACGCAACAATTAATAAGATCTAGATCATTTATTTGGTCAGTATAAAATAATCTTATCTTATAGGTTCGTGCAATACATCCAATATGTACTAGTGTAATTCGTTAGAAAAGATCAATTAACTCGAAAATCACACTACAGTCTTTCACGAAAGTTAGTTTTATTCTGTCTAGACTGTGAACAAATATTTATATTTTACAAGACACCGATACTATAATCATTTTGTTCGACACATCGAACCTGGTAGTGAAATGAACTTCACCAGGGCTGCTTCAACTCGGACGCCCTCCGTACCTGCAAGAACTCAACGCCGGGAGGGATCCCGACGTCGAGCCTCCGATGCTTAGGTCAGCACTCACCAAAGATAAAGAGTGCAATATGAGAGTGTAGTAATGATTGTAGATAGAATGGGGTTTTGTGATACCTTAGGCTCTTTTTATAGGAGAGGTGTACCTTAGTGCTCAAGTTGTTCTTGACCAATACCATTATGCCAGATGTCCTAGCCCATGTGTAGGCTTATTCTCCAATATATTCTTTTTTATCCATTAAAATCGATCTAGTATGATATTTCATATCAATATCTTAATTAAGTTTAATGATACATTCCATGGATAGTTATATTACTTTCTCAATTTAATTGATATATAATTTAATTTTATTTTATATATTGTTATTTAATTATATATACAATGTGAATGTTAACTCAAAGATGGTCATTATTTTGATGTATCATACACACACACACACACAAACAAAAAAAAAAAAAAAAAAAAA